CACTGTTACAGAGAGCGAGGAGGCGCTGGTTGATTTGGAGAGCACAATGGACATCGCGCGCCGGTGGTTCTTGACGCTCTTGGCCCGCGGCGGCCAGGAGATCTCGGGGCCGAAGGTCCAGGCGCTCTTCCCGAACGCGCCTGGCGAGCACAAGCCGAAGGACACCCTCGGGGAGGTGAACAAGGTCATGAGTTCAAAGTTGTTCGCTTTCACCCCGTCCGCGCAGCAGCGACCGATCAAGGGCGCGAAGGTGTTGATGTCGGCGCTGGCATCCCAGAAGCTTCCTCCAATGCACCTCTGCGAGGGTGCGCCGTTCAAGGACGAGCTCCGCAAAAGGATGGCTTTTTTCCTGTTGGGGGCAGCAGGCGCCCGGCAGCGGCGAGGGGGCCGAGTTCGCGAGTGGCGCCGCCGCGGCGACGCTGAAGTACGAGAAGGTCAAGGAGGCCATCGCCGGTGGTTCGGAGGTGAATTACGACGCGCTCAAACCGCTCCACGCGTACAACTGGTTGCCCACAGACGACCAGAAGAAACAGCACACCAAGTGGATCTCGAACATGTTCAAGGGCGCCCCCGTGCTCCAGGCCGCCAAGAAGAAAGCCGCTGCAGGTTCGTCTGGCGGCGGCGCGAAGAGGAAGGGCGAGGGCGCCGCGGAGGGGGGGGGGGGTCGGTAAGAAGGCGGCCAAGTCTGCAGACAGCAAGGCCGATGTCTTCTTCTCCTGATGGCGCTCGGGGAGCGCACTCCGCGAAGGCGCGAGTGCGGCAGGGCGCTTTTTTGCTGCGAGGCGCGCAGTGGGATCTGCCGTTTCTAATGGCCTGTCTCTGTCTCCCTCTCAGAGAGGCTCGATGGGTTCGCGTCTGTCTGCGGGGGTGCTGCCATCCGCTGCTCGTGCTCCGCTTTGCACCGCTGCTGGCGCTGGTCTTCCAGAGAGCTGCCGCGCGCCGCGCCGGCGTGCGAAAGAGACCGCGCGCCCTCGTTTCATGGCACCTGCCGCCCAGGCGCCCAGGCGCCTTCAAGGGGTGGAAGGGGCAAAGGGATAGAGGGGTAGAGGGTTGGAGGGATAGGGGGGTGGAGGGTAGAGGGGTCGAGGGGTAGAGGTGTAGAGGGGTAGAGGGTAGAAAAAGGTAGAAGGGGTCGAAGGGATAGAGGGCAGTGGGGTAAGGGGCAGGCGCGGGGGGGGGGGGGCGGGGGGGAGGGTTGGAGGGGGGGCAGGGGCGGCGGTGGATGGGTAGGGGGGGGGGGGGGGTGGGAGAGCGTAGAGGGGGCGAGGGTAGAGGGGTGAAGAGGTAGAGGGGTAGAGGGGTAGAGGGGTGGAGGGGTGGAGGGGTCGAGAGGTAGAGGGGCGCAGGGGCACAGGGGTGCATGGGGCAGAAGGGGTAGTGGGGTCGAGGGGTAGATGGGGTAGAGGGGTAGAGTGGTAGAGTGGTAGACGGGGTAGAGGGGCACAGGGGTAGAGGGGCACAGGGGTAGAAGGGCGGATGGGATAGAGGGGTAGCGGGGTGGATGGGGTAGAGGGGCGGAGGTGCAGAGGGGTGGATGGGTAGAGGGGTCTACCCCCGTAGCCATTTTGGCCCCTGTTCGCCACTATGGTTCAAACCAGCGGCCCGGGCCCCAGGCAAGAGGCACTGGCCCAGCAAACCAAAAAATCCTCCTCGCTCTCCTCCTCCTCATCCTCCTTCTCCTCTTCCTCCTCCTCAGGCCCCCCCCCCCCCCCCCCCCCCCCCCCTCCCGTAGCTATCTTGGCTCCTATTCGCCATTGCGGTTCAAGCCAAGGGCAAAGGCCTCGCAGGAGGGAGGCATTGGCCCAGGTAAACAAAACATTCCCCTCCTGCTCCTCCTGCCCCAGACTCCCCGACGGCGCGGCCGCGACAGCAACGCCAGCCAACAACCGCAACAGCAGGGGCGACAACAGGTCCCACTCAAGCGAGAGCCGTATTCTGAAAAAGGAACCATCCGTACCTCGGATGGGAGCCCGAATAATTTTGTCGGTGCGGGTGCTAAGATAACGCTCCGCGCGGGGAGGGGGCGAAATCTTCGGATGCGTTGCCCCGCATGATGGCTGGGCAAACTCAGCAAGTCGATGGGGGCGCCAGGAGGGCCAATGAAACCCCACGAGGCCCCACGAGGCCCCATGGAACCTTAGGAGGCCCCAAGAGGCCCCAGGAGGTTCTAGGACCCAGGGGGCCTCAGAAAGCCCCAGGAGGCCCCAGAAAGTTCCAGGAAGCCCCGCGACGCTCTAGGGCGCCTCAGGGGGGGCCCAGAGGCCCCAGGATGCACCAGGAGGCCCCAGGATGCATCTGGAGGCCCGAAGAGGCCCCAGGGGGCCCCAAGAGGCTCCAGGTGGCCCCGCCGGGGCTTCTTTCGAGTGGAAGGGCGCCCCGGGCCATCCGCAGTGGGAGTGGGAGGGGGAGGGGGGGGGGGGGGGGGGCGGGCAACGAGGAGGACGGCGAGGATTTTTGATTTGACTTTGATTCAGCACTGGGTCGATGCTGACCGTGCTTGAACGCAGCAGAAGGGCTTCCTCGCGTTTTGCCTCGCCGCTGGCGGTGGCGGGCTCGGTCAGCTGTGGCCTGACTTACGTTTCGGAGTTCGCAAGAAAACCTCCGCGCCGGAGGCGCCCTTGATCATTTTAGAACCGTCATCGGCGGGCAGCAAATGCCCCGAATAGTTTGAGGCAGTCCGAGTTGGAATTCTGACAACTCGCACTCCACTGCGCATCGGATAATTACAAAGAGCGTGAGCGCGCAGGAAACGCTTCGATCAGATGTCAAAGCAATGCGTGGAGCATGTTTGCAAACGCTGTCGCAACGCTTGGGCGCGGGCTTGCAAGCAGCACAAACTGCAGAGACGTTGCATTTCAGCTAGCACCGTGGCGCCGTGTCTGTCGGGGCCAGGGAACATTCGCCGCAGTTCGTTGTCAGGGAGCGCTGTTTGCACGGAGGTGGCGTGCAGGCGTTGGCGCTTGCATCGCGCGTGCCGTGAACTGCGCGCCCGCAAACTGAACGACGCGCTGCTGTCATAAATGGTGGTGTCGGGGCCTTCGCGCAGCGTTTTTTTTGCAGCCCTAAGAGTTTCCGTGCACCCCCGAACGACCGCGCTTCGTTGCTCCCGTGCTTGGTACTTCTCCTAAGCGCGTCGGCTGTCGCATGGGCGTCTGCCATTCCTGCGGGGCTGCCTTTTTCGCAACTCGGCCCCGCTGGCCCGTTCAGCTTATAATGCGTCGGCGAATGACGTCGAAGCTTCGGTTGGTCAACGCCGCTGCCATCGCGGCGCGCTCGACCCCAGCAGCCCCGCCGTTCGAAATCGGCGGGGGCCGAGCGGCGGGTGAATTCAGGAAATTTGAGAAGCGAGCTCAGCTCCGAGAGCAGGCGCCCAGGTGCAGGCATTCGCTGCTTCCTGGCCGTCAGCACTTGGAGATTGCACTGGCTAGGCCGACGCTCCAGCTCGTCAGGTCGCGCAACCAGGCGGCGCGATCGCATCAAAAAAATGCTCAGAGGAAACAGAATATATATATATATATACACACAAATCCACCGCTCCCCCCTCAGGGGGGCGCCGATGGTGAGCTTTGAGCTGGGCGCTCTCCCCTCCCGGCCGTCGCCCGCTCTGATCGCGCGGCGCGCGCTCGCAAGCTGGGGCGGGGCTTTTCGCGAACGACAGCTTCTCGATGCATCTCGACGCCGCGCAGCCGTCGGACGAGGTGCACGTGGAGGCTGGACGCGCTGCCAAGCCATCCCTACGGGGGGGCCGCGGGGCGCTTCGGGCATCTCGGTGATCTACTGGACTTCGGGCTCCGCTCGGCCACCCGCGCAGCTCGACGAGCTGCGACGGCCTCGACTGCGCGGCGCGTGGCTCCCCAGGAACAAGCTCTGACGGCAATGATCGGGGATTTGAATTTCGCCGTAGATCGAAGATGGATGGGTCGCGACCGGGAGGCCCGGGCGCCGGAGACGCCCGACCTAGACTAGAAGCTTCGGTTTCCAGCAAAGCTGGGATCCACAGGCTGATCGATATGAGGTGGTCGCCTTCTGGCGGCTCTAGATCCTGGGGGTCGGTCCCAAGGTCGCGTGCCCACTGGCTATGCGATCTGAGCCGCCCCCCTTGGTCATCAGTTTGGTGGCCTCCTATTTTTCTGCTCACGGAGGGCGGTTGCGCTGATCGGATCTGTTCCCAGCCCTGGATTGGAAACATTGAGGTCGGGGCCGACTCCACGATCTAAAGCCACCAGAAGGCAACAAACTCGAAACGATCAAGGCCCTACGTCTGGATGCTGCTGGAAACCAATGTTTCTACGGAATAAGGCCCTGCGGCCGAGAAGCGGTCGTTGGACATTGAACGAAGCGGCAAACGAGCACAGTTACGGAGAGAGGAAAGGGTGGACACAGGGACTGGGGTCCCTAGGGGCCCTCGCGCAAGCCGCAGGGGGACTTCGGCGGGGGGCGGAAGGTAAGACAACGAGCGGCAGGAGGAGGACGCACGCGAAGAGAGGTGCGCACGAGAGGTGTCTAAGAGTGACAAGGGGGGTGACGACGAGGAAGAAGGGCAGTGATATGTAAGCATCGCTCCCAGGGGGAGGGAGGGTGGCAAGTAGGGAAGGAGAGGCCAGGGTGGCATTCAGGATGGATTTACGATCGTGGCGTGAAAAACTCTGCCAACATCCTTGGGCTATTTCTGGACGGGGGGGGGGTCAGCTCAAAAACGTACGGCCCATCCAGGCCCCTTTCTGTCCCTTGCCCCCCCCCCGTTGCCGCATTCTCTTCGCAGCCCAGGGCGGTGGCGATGGTGGAGGGGAGGAGGTGGCGATGGCAATGATGATGTGGATGGTGATGATGGTCTCCACTGCTGCATCCCGAACTAGCCAACGCTGCAAGCACAGACGAGTCGCAAGCACGGAACGAAGACTGCCAGACTGTCGAGCGCCAGGCTAGTGCGAGAATCTCGCGTGGTCGTCAACTCAACTCGAGCTGTCCTGTTGAATCGCCTCGGCCTGTTGATTGCCGCTTCAGGCCCTCATGAACTCAAGCGCCTTCGTTTTCACACTCTCGTGCAACTGTATCTCAGGAACGTCTCCGATCATGTTGCTTGCGCGGTTGAGCTCTTCCTCCACGCGGCTCTGGCGCTGAGCTAGGCTTGTTTTCTTATCCCTCGAAATGTTGTGGATGATTTTGAGCCCAGCCAGAATTGAATCGATGCCCCTCGCACCCTCGACGACCGCCTTCTCAAGCGGGCCGAACGTCGCATCCGAGCTGAAGTCAATGTGCAGGTCGCTCGCAGACTTCTTGTAGTGTTTCAATGCCTCTCGCGCCGTCTGGCGCGTCTGCGAGAGCCTCTTGTTCGAGCCCTTCATCTTCGCAGAGAACAGCGTCTCCTCGGCCGCTGAAGCTACCTCATCGTAGGTCATCCTCGCTCTCGCTGCGGGATCGTTGCCCCTGTAGTCGCCACCATCGAGTAGGCCTCCTCGCAGGAGGCGCCGAATGCCACCGCAACGCTCCCCCACTGCCCCTTCTCAAACCTGTGCCTCGCGGGGCAGTGGCCTGACAACGTGCAATGGGGCGAACGATGGGTAGGATTCGATGCCCCCCCAATCCTGTTTGCTGCTCCACCTGGTCGACCGCCTTGCTCAGCGCCTGCGCCTCCGAAGCCAGTGCTGCCAAGGCGTACTCACTCAGGGCCGTCTGGATGTTCGCGGCTACGCTCTCAGACATCGGCTCCACCATGAAGAACTTGGAATACTTAGACTGGATGGCTGCGTCGCTCCAGCTCTCGCTGGCGCCCAGGACGATCTGCGACTTCCAAAGCTGGCTGCGGTCGGACTTGTAAGAAGCCCACAAGTTCTCGCACGAGTCGTTGCCCTGATCGGATGCCGCCTGCTGTTCTGCATCATCACCTTCAGCTTGGAGCTCGAGGAAGCACGTGACGAGAGTCGCCTTGTCTAAGATGAGGCCCCCCAAAACCTCGGCCTCCTCGTCGGCTGGCTCGGGTTCGGACAAGAACGAAAACACCTTCCCCGTCAAGAGGTTCATCATGTCTTTGATCCGAGACAACGCCATCACCCACTCCTCCGCAGTACGCCCACCAGCAGACGAATATGACCCCAGCGTTGTCATCGCAAACGAGTTGCCTGCGTGCAAAGCCCCCCGCACGGCGGTCACCTGCTCCGCATCGGTGAAGAGGAGGTGCCTCTGGTAGCTCACTTTCTTCAGCACGTTCGTCGTCTCGAGGTTTGGGTTGGCAGTGAAGGAGGCCAGTGCATCAAGCATTCTCTTCGAGCTGTCGATCTTCTTCATGTCCTCCAGCTTCGCAAGGGACACGCGGCACATGGAATCCAACTTATCCCCAACCCAAGAGTTCTCGGGGAAGGCAGTGACGTTGCAGATCTCCTCGACGAAGTTGTCGATGCCCTTCATGTTCTCGACGTCGTCGGGCATCGCGTTGGAGATGCTCTTGCCGAGCCACCTCTCCATATTATCAAACAGTTTGTGCCACCCGCTGTCGCAAGACAGCGGCCTGCACAACTTCGTCATGCGGTTGAGCTCGGCCACGATCTCCCTGAACCTGTTCTCGTCGTTGGTGTCGGTGCTGAGCTCAACCAGCAAGGCTGCCATCTTCGGGGCGATGGCGAACTCGTCCGCCCTGTGCCGCAGGAACTGCACCAGCAACGGCGACCAAAATTTGCTGTCCTCGAGGTCTTGTTTCGAAGGCAGCCAGGCTTCAGCCAAACTCCCGTCCAAGAACTTCTTCGTCGTCGTAGGGTCCACCCCGACCATGTGCTCCACGGATGGCGTACCCAGGACTTCCAGCAGCTTGAGGATGGTAATCAGCTCATCGACTGCCTTCTTCAGGATGGCAACGTCATCTGCGCTGATGCCTGGCAAGGCACAGTCGGTGGCCTTGAGAACTCGGGAGATATCATGGTGGAGGGATCTGATGAGCAACTTGTTGTTCTTCCCTGCCTTGATCAGCGGCTGCACGAGGAACTCGGAGACCACGCTTCTGAACCTCGACACCATGGCAGCAGGCTCAGCAGCAGGAACATCACGCAGGCGCGGCTTCAACGGATCGAAGGTTGGCTCCTCCTCGCCCTCGGCCTTCTCAACGGCGTCGTTGTAGTCATCCTCCTCGCGGCCCAGTGGCATGATGGCGTCAACCATGTCCTCGACCTCGTGTGCGTGCTTGACGCGCAGCTTCACCAGCTTCAGGGCGCACTCTGGGGGCCAGACCTGCCCCTTCTTGTGGAGATCCTCCAGCGTCTTGTGCAAGGAGGACTGGTCGACGGAGCCAGGATTCACAATCTTGTAGGCACTCTCGTACTTGAGTCTGGCACGCCTCACACGCCTCACGTTGGAGATG